TGTGATAAAAAATTAAAAAATTAAAAAGGATAAATTTATCAATAAAATTAAAAAATTCAAATCCACTAACGGTTTAATACAAAAAAGTTAAATAAGTTAACTTTTTTAATTTGCTAGCGATTTTGACTTTAACTGCTATCCACTAATCACAAATCACTAAATAAAAATTTTATTAAATATTTTATTTGTAGCGGTTTCGAAATATATAAATTTATTAAACATTTATACTTAACGGTTTAGGCAAAATCACTAATCAGTGCCCTAAAATCACAATACCAAATGGACCCTTAGAGCTACTCTAAATCAATGAGATCCAATATAATTTTTAGATATTAGAAGATTAGCATAAAAAACATAAAATAAAAGTTATTCCATAGAAAATATGACTTTAATTTTAAGAGATTTATCTCATATTTAATAATTAATATAATGTAGTATAATATTGTTCAGATTACATTATATTTTTTCATTATAACTTAAAACCAAGTTTTTTAAAAATAAGATTAAAATTGTATTTAGAATTACTCTTAAGTATTATAATTGTGAATTTTATAATATTTTATTATAAAAATATTATATTATTATTTGATAATTATTTTAAAAAATACTTTATAAATGAATATAATCACAAAATTATATAAATATCAATTAAAATTTATTTAATTATTATAAATTAATATTTTTATAAGTGCACTAAAAATAAAAAATAAAAGAAGAAGAAGAAGACAACCCCAAACCCAACATAAAGCCATTGAGCCCTAAATTGTTTAAGTCATGAAAGTTTGGACTCTTTAGTAGAAATTAGCAAGTAAAATCCACACAGACCGTCCAGCACCTGTGGCCCAGTGGCCACCTCTCTGAGGATAAGGTGGTCAGGAGGATGAAGTCCTCGGTTCAACTCCAGACATTTACATCCTCCTTCCCTCTAATTCCTATTGTTAAAAACAAAAGAAAAGAAATAATAAATAAATTTGCTGGCACGTCAAATAAAACTACTTCTCTCGTGAAACGTTTGAATCATTAAAAATTCGAACTTTTATATTAAAAATTTTAAGTTTAAAATTTAAAATTGATAAGGGAGAATTTAAGAAAGGAAGAATTATTTTTATTATATATTCTAACATCCAATGTAAGAAGAAAAAAATAAAATGGTTTGACACTTACTGTACAAATAAAAACTTGAAATTGCTATACTCGATTTTTTTTTGTCCGAAATTGAAATTACTATACTAAAATAATAATTATTAAAAAACAAAATAAAAATGACTGCCACCGTAATAATAAGAGAGATATTTGGATTAGTGATTCAAATATACTAATAGATAATAAAGAGTTTAATATATGAGAATTAATAATAATTATTACTTATTTAATCACTTCAAAGTTCAAACTGCACTCACTAGTCTAAAACTTTGTACATAAATTTTGATTTAAAACTTTTTTGTGAGTATATTTTATTTTTGTGAAATACACATGAGATGAACATTCATAGAACTTCATCTTTTTCACAAATGAAACTTCGGCCTTCTAAATCCTTCTGTCCTAATTAGGGATTTAATCAAATTTCTAATTTACAATAGAAAAAGTATTGTAAAATTTAAAATGTACAATAGTAATATTAAATTGGATGATCCCCTAGCATTAAGGTTTTTCCCTAATCGAGGCCCATGTTTTATAGTTTAGATAGTATAATAAAAAATTTATTTATAATTTAAAATAATATTTTATAATTTAAATTATATCAATACGAAAATCCATGGACAATTCGTTTGTTTAATTTAGGTTTAATACCCAATCCCTCAACTTTCATTTCTGAACTTAGTTCATTTTTTTAATTTCAGAAAGCACATATCGTCCTTAAACTTTATTTTTCCCCCTAACCAAAATGGTCCTTCCGTCACGGCGGAACTGCATACATGGCACGTTATCTCTCCACCAATTACCTCTTTTAATTTTCACAAGCTTACGTGGAAAAAACTCCACACCCAATTGATGATATAGCAACCTCCAGCCTGAAACTTAATTTCTGCCATACAGAATACAGATACCCCCGTATCACATTTTTTGAGTACTCTCCAAATACAATTTCCAAATGACAAAACAATGAAACATTTCTTTAAATCGAACGAAGAAGAAGAAAAAAAAAAAAAACAATGATAGAAATGATGAAGTAGAATGCACTTGTGTCCAGGGAATCTTCTTAAAATCAATGGAATTACAAACGTTTGAGAAGATGATGAAATTTTATTCCTGTGAGTTCAACTGTTTGCAAAATATTGAACTGTTTGCAAAATATTGAAAATTCTGGGGAAGTGATTACTTATAACTCAACTTTTTAAAGCTGAATGTTTGACAACCATGAACAAATAGCAAATAGGTTTATCACATTATCCTAGAAACTCCAGTCCAGAATAACATGGATGATAAAAGCTTGTCAAGCAATGTTTTCAAGCACTAACCTTTGTTTCTTGAAAGCCCCCAAACTTTACTCCTGGTGGAGGAAAGCCTTTATATTCAAGAAACCAAATGAACACAAATCATTTTTTCATTTATTTTCTCAATTTTTGAGCACCAACCAAAGCATAATTGATGTAACAAATGAATCTAGGAATATAGTAGAAAAAAAAAAAAAAAGCTCATGCTATCATGAACCGAGTAATAAGAGAATCAAGTCACTCATAAATGATAATATATTTTAGAAGGGAGAAGAAGCCAAATTTCCAATTAAATTCAAAGGTGTCTCAATTAGTTTGCCAAGGAAATGCAGTTTCCAATCAAAGATCTTTCATCGATTGAAACACAAGTAAACAAACTGAGCTCAAACAACCTGAGCAAAAACAAACAAGAAAAAAAAAAATCAAGCCAACCAAAAATCCCATTTTTATCTCCCCCTTAATTTCTCCAAGGAAGAAACATAGACCAGACCAACCCAAGAAAAAAATAACAAACTCTACACAACCCCAGTAGAAAACACCCCTTAACAGACCCAATATTTAGATTCAGCCACTTCAAAACCGCAAATCCACAAGCCATTTCCTCTAAAACACACAAAGACACATCCATACATGTTTACATGTATTACCCAGATGCATATGAATTGAGGTGTTGTGAACAAGAGGTTTACGTCACGGCAGAACAGGATTTAAGGGGTCTAAGAAGAAGGAATCAAGGGTTCAGAGAAGAAATACTCAAGAGTTGCAGAGGATTTAGGGGTCGAAGAAGGAGGAATCAAGGGTTCGGAGATTGACCTGCAAGCATCGTCGATTGCTTTCTCGTTTTCTGGAATCATTTGGTTTCTGAAAATTGAGTAGTCGGAAACATGGAAGCAAATGCCAGAATGGTTGGAGGACTTAGGGGTTTCGAAGAAGAAAGAATTTAGGGCTACAGAGGATTTATTTAGGCAAAAACCAACATTGAGCCCCTCACCTTATAAAATTGGTAGATTTTAACCCCTTACCTTATAACATGACAGTTTTAACATTTTATCTTACAAAGTTGGTAAGTTTTAGCCCCTTACCTTACAAAATTGATAGGTTTTAACTCCTTACCTTATATTATGATATTTTTAACCTCTCACCGATACGAATTAAAGAAAATAGCTCTCACTTAATATCATGTTATAACATTTTGTTAGTTCTGTTAGTTGACTATTAACATCCATTAATATTCCATTATAAAAAACATAAAATTTAAATTCAATTTTATTTATTAGTTCCATTAACGGAATACTAACGGATGCTAACAGTCAACTAACAAAATTGATAGTTAGCTAACAGAAATAATAGAACATGATAACCTGAAATAAAGGCATTTTTATTCAATTCGTATAGATAATGGACTAAAAGTGTCATAATATAAGGTAAGGAGTTAAAATCTACCAATTTTGTAAAGTGAAAAATTAAAACCTACTAAATTTGTAAGATAAAGGGTTAAAACTGTTGTATTATAAGATTAAAAGTTAAAACCTATTAATTTTGTAAAGTGAGGGATTAAAAGTTGATTTTAACCATTCATTTAGGGGTAATTGGGAAATGGAAAGTGAGAGTGAATCTAGAAGGGGAGTCTGCTCGGCATCGATAAAGAAAGACAATGACATGTACCAAAAAAAAAGAAAGACAATGACATGTGTGCCCACGGTTTTATTTTAGGTTAAAACCCTTTTTGGTCCCTAAACTATTATATAGATCCTCGATTTGGTCCCTAAACTAAAAAAATTCCTGATTTGGTCCCTACTGTTTACCATTTTTACCTCGATTTGGTCTTTCCATTAAAAATTGTGTGACGTGGCCTGTTACTTAACGGTTACCAGATGACATGTCATATAGTAATATAAAAAGTGATGATGTGAAAAAAAAAGTGATGATGTGGAAAAAAAATAATATAAAAAAATATTATGAAAAATAAAACTTAAATTTTTTTTTCTT